CCCCAAAACCCCAAAACCCCAAAACCCCAAAACCCCAAAACCCCGAATTATTTAAATATTATTGGAATATTTTTGAAACTAATGGAGCAGACAGTCTACAATCTTATTAAGAAATATGGAGGGGAATACCTCTACGGATTCGACAAAGACCAACTTGAATTTAACCTCATTGGAGGCAAAGTTTCCCTTAAAGTAGTTAATTTAAGAGCAGAGAAGATTTAATGAGCTTCTAGCGGAAAATGGGATTCCAATGTGGGTCAAATCGGGCATGCTGACTAATTTCAACTGTAATATTAGCACACTGAATTTGATCCATGAATTTACCACAAAGAGATTTACGTCTAAGAAATTACAGTCAGAGAAAGCTTCGATTGAAGTCACAGTTGATGAAATCTTGGTTGTGCTAGGGCCTTCAAGAGCTCATTATTCGACAGAGGACGATTTTGATTGGGATAGAGAACCCGAGAGAACTTATGTAAGCATTGAAGAAAGACGCAGAAAAGTCAAGCGTAAAAAGAAGAAGGAGGAGGGTAAAGCATCCGAATCAAAAACACTTCCCACAGATGCTAATACCACTAGTCCAGAGTCTATCAAAACTGCAATCGAGATGTTCATGAACTTGGTTTCTATAAACGTTAACAAAATTCATATCAGGTTTGAAAATGATGACTTCTGATATTATGATGGCAGCTCTAGGGACCCAAGTTTTACCCCTTATGCGTTTGGAATAGTTATGAATTCTCTGAACATTAATAGTCCAATTACTAATAACAGGAAGACGCAGATCCAGTTCCAGTCAGTGATGGATCTCAATTATCAGGAAGTATACCCTGATGATGATACAAACCTCTTTGTGAAGCACATTTTACTCCAAGATATTGCAGTTTATTGGAACAGTGATGAAGAAGTCTATATTCCAATGGAGACTGAGGAGAAGACTCTGGCCATGGACCAGAAAATATTTGATCATCAATACCTTGAGCCTGAGGAGTTCAGAGTTCTAATGATCCAACCTTTTAAAGGAATTAGATCTTACATGGAAGAGGGAAAATTATCAAGAAGAATTGATAGAAATGTACATTTTAATTACTTTATCAATCCTTTTACTGTTGAGGTCAATATGAGTTATTACAGATTGGCTGATAAAGACGTGAAAAAGCATAAATACCCAAGATTTCAGCTAATTGCCCTAGTATCTGCACTAAGATTAACCATTAGGCCGAGACTAATAGATGATTTAAGGAATTTTATGGAATACATGCAGTATCAGATGATGCTTCCCTTCCTGCAGAGATACAAACCAAGGAGGAGACCCCTTTCACCAAGCATATATCCTGATTCTCACAAGTATAGAACAGTTCGAAGACAAATTGTTAAAGATTGGTTTGCATATGTAATTTGGGCAAATCGTCTAAAAAGAGTACTTAGAAATGATGTTTGTCCAGAACTCTTCGAAGAAGAGATCGAGCTAAATCACCATAAATACGATAAAGCTTTAGCTAAACTCAGGAATCCTAGAGATAATCTTTTCTTGGGTAGAAACCTTAAGAGAGATAGAGGCCACGATATAGGCCATCTTAACTCCATGGTCGCTCCTGTCATTGATGAGATTCATGAGAGAAAGCAATTCGAGCAGTCTAAGGTGAACAATGAGTTTTTCAGAAACTTTTTACAGAAATTTTTGATTGAATTAAAAGTTCAATCTGTTGAAGCTGAGTTGTTCTCAGATGATTCAGATAGGTATTCGCAAAGAGAGAAAATCCCAACTCTTAAGCTCTTTCTAGGAAGGCTCAGGGTTGCTGCCAACATCGATGATTCAATGTTGACATCTAACATCATGCTTGAAGATATGAAAGTCTTAGACACTCTTGTGCTCAATAACCAAAGAAGGGATCGGGACACAAGTGAGACTCTTATGACGAATAATGGGCAGTTCCTAGATGAAGAAATCAGTGGCTTTTTCAGGAAACATAGAGAGGAAAACTCTATATTCATGCCTCCAGATTACGATGTGTATGACGGCCAATACTCTAGAGTTGCAAATGATGAAGAAGGCAAAATGTTTGATGATAAATTGATGACCGACAGGGATAGAAGTATCCATACTACCAGAGATCTAGACGCGGATACCTTCTTTGGCTTTGACAAAGAAGGAAGAAGTACTTCCCAGAAGAATAAGGAAGACTCCAGATTCAATTTTGAAGGATTCTGGAGAAATAAGCTAGGAAAATTGATCGGTATGGGAGATGAGAAAAAGAAGGCAAACCCTGAAAGAAAGAAGGAACTATTTGAGTCTCATAATAAAGAATATGAAGATGATAATGGGAACCAAATTTTGGAAAGATGCTGAGTCCTAGCTGAAGGCGACCCTGTATTCTTAGATATGAAGACAGTAGTGAATTTGTTCCCAGAGAAAAATGAGAAAACCGCGATAGATCTCAATTTGATTCTACATAATTTCAGAATAGAGTATTCTAATGATCTAGTCAGGAATTTAGCGGAGATAATGCTGACATATAACAAAGCTTCTACACTTGGAGATTATGCTATTGCCTCTAGTCCTGATGCATTTGAGCGAAAAATTGAGCTTTGGACTCCATGGTATTTGATCAGACAAGCTTTCTTCCTGCCAGAGTTTGACCCACATGGAGAAAGAGCAACTGTAACAACGAATAAATATATCGAGAAAGAAACTCAAAAATTAGCATCCGAAAATAGTGCAAAATAAGATGAAGGCAACCCAGAGAGCCATTGCCAAGCTTGACAAAAGCATCAGAAATATAGACCTAAAGGCAAAAATCTTAATTGAAGGAATCTACCTTTCTTTGAATGCCAACCATAACACAAAGAGATATAGGCAAAATAGGAACTTGCTCCAGATGAGAACTGAACCATTCGAGATATTATTTGTAAAGCATGGGAAGAAGTTTGGAGCCTCTGTGCTTGGAGTGCAGATGATGTCCCAAAGCTCATTCGAGCTTTTGTTCCAGTTTGCACTACAAATGCAGAAAGAACTTTCCATCTTCACAGAGCATCCTGCTCTCAAGGATGGTAAGAAGTATTATGAAGATATCGTTCATAACAGAGTTCATGAATCCAATAGAAAAACCAGAGGAGGATTAGGAAGTGGACTGGGCGGAATCAACGAGTCTACCATTAGAAGGAGTGGAGGAAATTCCTTCTTCTCCACCAACCCAAGATTCTCAGCAATCGGCTCTATGAAAGGGAGACCAGGAGATAGTACATTTGCGTTTGGGAGTTCAAAACCGCTGGTTTCTAAACCAAGGAATACCTCAAATCTTGATTTTGATGCAATCCAGCGTGTAAGAAGGACTGGGCAAGAAACCAAAGGCAGAGGATTTGAAAGGAATAAACCAGTCATTGAATACCAAGTGGAAGAAAAAGAATTTGATGAAGAATTTAGCCTAAATGATACAGATGAAGACGCAAGAATTGGAAGAGCCAAGGTAAGGCTCTCAGGCGAGAAACCATCTAACAAGGCAAGAACTATGGTTGAGAGGCCAGAAGAGTTTAGACCAACTCAGGATAGATTTGATAGAGATCAACAGAGAGAAGTAGAAAGAAGGACTTATCAAGAATTGGGTGGTGGAATACCTGAGCCTAGACAAGCTCCCTCTGCTGCTCCTAGGACTGGGCCATCTAGGAGAAACAGAGGACCTGGTACCGAAGTATCTGGTCATGTAAGTTATATATCATAACCTATATAGAGGAATTATAGAGACCAATATGATGATTTTGAAGAGGAGTATGTTGAGGATGATTACATGCCTCCAAACAGAAGAAAGACATACCAGGAGCCATTTGAATATGACAATCCTAGATATTATTAATTTTCGAATCTAGAAGCAATTCGGGGTTTTGGGGTTTTGGGGTTTTGGGGTTTTGGGG